GGCTCATGGAGCGCAGGTGGCTCCCACGGGCCTCGCGTCCCGGCACCGTGAGAAGCGCGAGCGGCCAGCGCAAACCCTCTGACTCACGCTGCCTGGAGACTGTTAATAGATAACCGAATAAACTAACAATCACAGGTGGGATTCAAAACGAGTGCAAACCTTTTCTTCGCCATCTTCTTGAGCACATTTTTACAGAGAACATGCAAACCCTCTTTTCACAGAAAGCAGACACTCAGCTCCACGCCTCCTTCGAGACCAAGCTGGACCTCGGCAGGAGGAAACTGCCCCACCCGTGTTCTACATCACCTTCCACAGCCTGAGGGTCACTCGGCGCTGTCCCAGGCACGGCGAGATAGTGGCAGACGGAGCCGAAGAGGCAGCTGAGGGGTAATTCACGCTCGGGAACAGGCCGCACCTTCAAAACAAAGGCTCAGGATGGATTTGATCCCTTACACAGAAGATAAAACAAAGGCACAGCTCTCCGAGCCAGAAGGAGGCAGGTTCCTGGGCAAAAGCCTTGCTGTGCAAGGGTCTCCCCCAGCAAGGGACCAGTTTAACCGACACCCGAGTTTGTGGGACATCACGGAGGGGACCTGATCAGCGTGAAATTATCACGCAGCGGCTGCGGGAAGGTCGCACCTACAGACAGTCCCGCATGAGCGGAGTAAGCGGCTCTGACTGCCGGGGACACCCGTTCTCCAACCTGCAGGGTAAAGGCTGCGGCTCACGGAACTTCACCAGCCAACTCTGCCCTGGGCAGGCCCAGCTCGGCCCGAGGGGCTGCGGGGCCAAGCGCCGTGTTTTCCCCTCAAATCCCAGGGGATGGGCCCAGCGCGGCGTGTGGGCATGGCCAGGGCGCAGCTCTGGAGCTCCAAGAGAAGGAAGAGAGAGGACATCAAACACCGTCAGAAAGGGCTCTTACTGAAGACACACAGCTCAGTTATTTCCTCCAAAAAAAATTTAATTGAAATTCCATCTTTATGGCCAATGCTACACAGTTAAGATTATACAAATTTTTTGTGTGACGTTAAATGGAAGTCCTTGTCCAATCTGAAATATGTAAATTGGACCAAAAGCAAGTATTTGTACACATCTGGTATTAAAAAATAAAAGGAATTTCTCTTGCATCTTACACTTCATACTGATTTCCAGTTCTCTAGGGGTGGTAGAAAGGGAAAATGAAGTGAGGTTCTAGTTATTCTTAGGAAAATCCCAGCCCCGCTGAACTCCACTGTAACATCCTCTTCTCCAGGGGGAGCTCACAGACACTCTGCACACACCTTCTCATGTCACAGCACCACTTCTGGAAGCTATCACATTTTCCAAAATGCAGCCAGTAATATGGGAGATTATTTTATAAACTCCGGAAGAGAAAAAAACTTCAACTGAACAACAACAAAAAAGCAAAACTGCAGAGAGTTAAATCAGAACAGCCTAATCATGAGCAAAATTCTTCAGCACATTCTACCTGCACACAGCTTCACTTCCCCCTTCTTTCCTTAGGGCATCAAGGGCAGCCTCTGAGCCCTCGGGGCAGAGCCGTGGAGCTGGCGTGGGGATCCCACTGCCCAGTCCCTCACCCCGCTCCCGGCGCGGGCTGGGCCACGCACCCGTTTGGGCACAGCGACTGCCCTGGGCCCGAGGGCTGGGCACTGCCCACCCAAACCCCGGGCTACGGCGCCGCCCAGCGCGTCACCCAGGCTCACTCCCACCGGCTGCTCTGCGTCAGGGCAGGTGGAAACGACCAACACTTGCCGGTGAAATGAAGGACTGCGCGAGGCGTGTAACTGGTGACGAAAGAACCAAACCTGATTACTGTCCGAGGACTGGAGCCCCCCAGATGCTGACACTCCCAGCGGAGCAGGGAGCGCTCAGGATCTGATGAGACCGGGTCCTGAGGTAGTAGCACCAAATGTTTCACATCTGCCAGAGGGGCAAACTGAATGCATGGCTGCAGGATGGAGTGCCATCTCCCGAAGGCAGAGCGCTGGCGAAGGCACGTAAGCGGGTGGGATTCATCCCCTGGCCTCAGACACGTGCAGCAGCGCTACCACCTCTGAGCCAGGGCAGCAGAGCCAAGCTCACCCCACCCGTTGCGGACGTCTGCCTTGAGAGATTAATACATTTTCAGAAATGCACATTAAAACAATCTTTTGACCATAAATAGTACCTAGGAGACCAGCTCAGATGTCAACATGTAGTTTGGAAGCATCTAAAGGTCGGTCAAATGAATTCCACTGTTAGTCAGCACAGTCAGAAATGCTCCCAAACAGAAATTAGGAGATTTCCCTAATTCTGGGCAGCAGAATTCCCATGGTTATTAGTCTCACTCTCATCTTGATTTCTATTAGAAATATTAAGCAGAGTTGCTAGCTAAACTTGCTCAGGTAGTTTTTCAACAGGCTTTTGATGCTGCACTCAGACAAAATAATGTTTGTTAAATAGCAGGACAGTGACATTACATGATCTGTTCAGCAAAATGAAGAACCCCACCAGCCCTGTGAGATGAGACCCATCTGCTGAAAGCCAGAAAATTAAGTGATTTCTACATCATGGTCTAATAGCAGCAAGAGGCTTAGTAATTATCTCACTTGTGGTTAGCACACTAAAAAGTGAATTTTAAATACCATTTATTACTGGGGACAAACATAATGCCTTATAATTAGTACCAGCTAATACTCTCAGTATGGAAATAAAAAGCCAGCCTGTATTTATAGTATCGCAATGTTCACGTGAAGTTAACCTTCACTCTCCAGCTGCAGCCACACTTTATAAACGTGCTGATCACAACCTGGATTTGAAGGCCGTCATGCCCTTCAGCTGGTAGGAAAGAGGTATAAGTAGGCAGATTTTACAAAACAGCTTGTTTCCCACTGACCCACGAGCGTCAAGCAGAGAAACGGGAACAGAGAAAGTTCTTTGTCCAAAGAGAGACATAAGGCCAGTGTTCCCTTCCCAGGCATGCTACAGACGTTTGTATTCTGCTGACATTGATTCAAAGCTTTTCCATGGAGATATCACCCTTCCGTACACGTGCTAACCCTACCTACCTGACCTGAGCAAGGGCAGGAACCAGCTTTGTGCTCCTTTTTCCTGCCGAGGCAGCAAGCAGAGACCAAGAATGGGGCAAGGAAGGGAGAGGCGAAGCCCCGGCTCCTGGCTCCCCGCCCCTCAAACAGGCACGGTACGAAGGGTCAAGGAAGACTTCTTTCTGCTACAGCAACGAGGGACAGCAGTAACATAGGAGGTTCTGGCACTGAAGGGATTTAAGTCTGGCTCACCACAATCACACCTGGAAGCTGCAGTATGGCAGTGGAGACTCCTCAACCAACTCTCAAGAGGTATTGGGCCCCAGGCCCTATGAGGCTGTGCAGGAGGATTTACTCCATGGCAGTACTTGGCCCACTGGCTGCTCGACACGGCACCCATTCGTGTCTTCAGCATCCCTTGTTTAGTTCTTCCAACATAAACCAGAGGCAAACGCCTGTTTTGCCAACAGAGGCCTATCTTCTTTTGAAACAACCCCACCTCTGAAAGATCAGAGGCTCACACTGTTAATGCCTCAGAATTACACAAGCAAAGAGAACAGTCCGAGCAGCACGGCATCTGCTCCTCACACGTCACAATGAGCTCAGTTGTTGATTTACAGGAAACTTGCATTGCCAAAGTACAGGCATTTCAGTGCTAATTACATAAAGTAAACATTTATCCCCACGAAGCTGACAGCCAGACTAACACGTGTATGGCTCAGTCCCACAGAACACTGTCACAGCTTCGCTGTCCCCCCGTGCCCCCCAGGAGGGGAGCTCCCCGGGCGCCAGGACCGCCACGGAGGTGCTGGGGTGCTCCTGCCCTCAACGACTTCCAGCACCGGAGCTGTGGCCACCAGCCTTTTGGAAAAGCCCCCGCCCATCCCCAGCCTCACCGAGACAGCAGTCCCGGTGCCGACAGCGAGAAAATAATGCCCCAGAAAGGTCTTTCGCTCTTCAAAACTACCACCACTACCCAGGAGTGGATTCAGCAGCCTCCATGCACCCAGACGCCTGCCAAAACAAGCAAGAAATTTAGCTGGGTGACGGGCACGCAGGCCGGGCCCAGGAGCGGTGCCAGAAATGTAACAGGCAGAATTTGGCTCTGGAGAAAGGCGTGCGTAAGCACACAGCTGCCAGCCTGCAGGGCTGCCTCCTCTCAGGCACCTGCACAGTAAATTACTCCGGACTTATCATCTCAGTTTTAAACAACAACATCAATTAAGCTAGATCAATTATACCTATGGAACTCTGTAGGTATCCCACAAAAACCACAGTAGAAAGCACAGAGCAGATCTATAAACTTTCTGGAGAGCAAGCCTGACTTCCTAAATTTACTTAACCAGAGAAAGCCCTTTTTAATAATAATTTTGAAAAGCCATTTTGCTTAAAAGGTAAGCCAACATGTTTCCACACATGCTGCTCGTGGCTGCTAGACTGGAAACACGCACAGTTTGTTTCAACTGAGTACGTTCTTCAGCTTCACCCAGCAGGCTTATTCCTTTCATTTTATGCTCTTCAAATGCAGAGGCTTTCCTGCAGATAATGAGAGTGGGTTTTCTAGAAAATGTAAACAAATCTTATGAGTTTTACTATCCCAGCTAAGCTTGCACCAGAAGTTTCTGGCAGGAGAAAAAACAAAAAAAACAACCAAAACCCAAGCCTTATCCTTATGTTCTAATAAAAATATAGACTTTTAAGAGCATTAGAAATCACTCAATCATCAAACCCATGTGAAAAATCACTCTCTGAAGAGATGATCAGTGACTGTGCTGGTTACACTGTACCTTAAGCATAAACAAACCAAGTGACTGCATGTCCTGGAAAGCTGAAATTAATGCACTCATGGGAAAACTGCATACAAATAAATCTCTGCATAGGAAATAGAAGCGAATCTGTAGAAAAGTTTTTTAAGTTTCTCAGTGCATACTTCTGGGCTCACGCTAAGTCCAGTCAGAATGGGATGAAACGAGATCTTTTCACATGCCACAGGATAAACGCCCTTATTTCCCTACTTTCTACAAATTCTTCCCAAACAAAAAAAACAAAGGAGAAAATAAGCCAAAAAAGTCAAGTGCTCCTCACTGTTGGGTGAGGTGAACATCACCGGGTCGGCGTGTAAGGGAGGAGAGTCTGGTCGGGCAGCGGAGGAGCCGCAGGGCCCCCCGGGGCTGCGGGCCGGGGGTCCCCCCCGCGCTCAGAGCGGTCCCTGGCTGGTGAAGAAGGCTTTGGTCTCCCTGCAGACGGGATTCACGCAGAGCGGGCAGCACAGGGTTAACTGCCTAGAGCAGATCTCATTCGACTGGAGGTGTGAACAGACCAAGTCGGCCAGAGCCTGAAAGACAGTTAATTAAAAATCAGAAGTGAGCAAACCCATCTGCGTAAAATAAAGGCAGGCTTTAACATGGGGAACGCTGACTAGGGAGATGGCCAAACCGTGCACCCACCGCTTGCCGAGCACCACCCTCCTCTACCTCAGGGAAAAACCCCACTTTAAAAATGCACAGGCGTCATCTCTTCAGAGAAATATTTCATTAAAAGATTACCATAAATGAATGCAAAACCGTTTTTCTTTTTTGTCAAACCAAACTTCTGAACATTTTTTTTTAAAAAAAAAAAACAAAAACAAAAAAAAAAAACCCACCAAAAAAACCCCAAAAAACAAACCATAAACTGTGGCAAAAGAAAACACGTTGTGGTATACAGACTAAGGGCGTTCCATCTTCACTTTTAAAGTACTTTAAAACTACAAGAAGGCATCCACAATCTAGGAGGAGACACACGAGTGCAAATATTTACAACTATTGCAACAAAGAAGATACCTTGGAGAACAGCGGGTTTCCATTAAGAGACTCCGCTCTTCTGATGTTTTCAACTCCACACTGAATCAAAAATAAGGAGAAAAGAAGTTAAATCTGCCAGACCCTTCACCAGCCAGCCTTCAAAATCTTCCCTGCTACTTCGTTCAGAAGTTGCCCCAAAATTAATTAAATGCAATACCATGTTTTTCGATACAGCAAAAATAACTATGATGCAGAATTTCGCTTTGCTGACAAAAATCAATGATTCTTTTTCAGTAAGGATAGTAGTGGCTTAAAGAGTTAAATCTAGAGAGACAAATTCCCACCTGTCTTGTGTTGCTAAAAATTAATTTGATATAAGCCAGTTCAGATTAATTTTCATTTAAAAGAAAAATTAAACTTGCCCCAACTCATATTGCAAAAAGCAACTACAAAGCAAATCTCAAACCAGGAGAAGTCCTTTTGGAGCACCACTACCCAGACAGTTATAAAAGCTGTAAAACATTTACCTCATTCGCTAAAACTTGGGCATACTCAATGTCCAGTTCATAAAGGGTTTCAATGTGGTCACTTGTAAACGCTATTGGGACCAACAACATGTTCTTCTTCCCTCTCTGGCACAGTCCTTTAATGGTCTCATCTGTCTGCGGACCCAGCCAAGGCATTGGTCCAACCTGTAAGAAAAGGGGGAGGGACATAAAAAAACCCCAAACCCCTCATTAAGTCATTCTTACAAAGAACACCCACGTTTTCTTAAGTAGGACAACACAGACCAGATTATGTTTAAGATGGAGCCGGTTATTTGTATTTCCCTGCTTAGATTGTTTATGAAAACAAACTGTCCTGCCATTTAAATTCCAAAGAAACAGAACCTGGGCTGGCCTAAATGAGACTCTCACTAAAATCAGTGCAAGTTTAAATAAAGGTCTACTGTTTCCAGTTCAGTAAACCCCTGACCACCACTGTGCAGGGTTTACCTGCCCTTTAAAGAAGTCACCAATCCGTAGCAAACTGTCCTTACCTCTCTCCTATCCATCAAGTATTGGGTGCTGATGTACCATAACACGCAGCTTTAAGAACACGACAACAACGGTATAGAAGGTGTGATGCCCCTAAAACGTAGGGTTACTTGTACCACATAATTCTGGTGAATCTCACACTCCTCACTATTTGCAGCGGTAATAACAAGGACAAAGTAACACGAGCAGTCTTCCTCGGGAATAATGAAGACTGTTGGGATTATCGTCACTAAGAATGTCTGTAACACAGTGATGACTTCGGGAAAAGAGATCCTCAAAAAGCAACACCTTAAAAACCCAGTCAGTGCTCAATAATTCCTCCTGACAGAGGAAGAGAAATGCCAACTAGACGTTATGAGATCATAGGTTTTCTAATGGACACATCAAAAATCTACCTTAAAAAGGTGCAATACACAAAAAAGGCAAGAAACTGTGGATAAAGAGTTATCTGGAAAGACTACATTTGAGTAGAAGATGGGGATTCTGTTCTGGCAGAAATACTTGCTGAAATGGGAAAGAGGCACTGAGGTTATGATCTTCCTAAGCTTGGAAGATCACAAAGCCCACCGCCTGAGGAGCTTTAGCGTGGCACACATACCTTGGACTGCCACACCAGCCGGTAAGGGTTGGAGTAGTTCAGCTTCTCCATGACTCTCTGGACAGTAGCTCCCACTTCCTGAGGATACGGATCACCACGGTTCACAACCTTCAACACACAAACACCAGACCTTTTTCTACCAGCGAACGTGTTTGGACAAGGACCACCTAAAGCCTGGGGAAGGCGAGCACACTGTGTGTGATGGGGCTCTATCAAGTGCCTGCCTGGCTCATCCAAAATAGGGAAGAAAAGCTGCATTCTGGCCCAGCAAAACCCACAAGGAAGCTGCTTCACCAGAACACCTACTCCTCCTCCTTCCCGTGAGAGAAGATAAATCTTTCTATCATCACACGTAGATACGGGTACCTTCGGTAACAGCGCTGCATTTCTGAAAAATGATCTGAGAGCCATTTCCCTGCAGCTGCTGAGCGAGGACTAACTCATTTATTGCATCCTTGCAGAGATTTTACTGTCATTCCTCCAGGGAAAGCATTATTACTGCTTTCTAGAGTTGAGAAAACACCAAATTTTCACCCCCATTACCATCCAGCTTTAAGCTGGCAAGTTCATGAGGCAGTGCAAGCAGCTCTACTGAGCCTGGCCTAACCCAGCAGCCCACCTTCAACGGCAGCAGCAGCGCAGGTCTGAGAGTGACCAGAGCTCAGGTGCCTCGCCTTCAGCTCCGCGTCAGGCTCCCACTCGCCTTCGTGTTTCCCTGGCACTTCCACAACTGTGGCCCTACCCCGGGGGGTGTGAGCCGTGCCCCCTCCCGCTCAGCCCAGCCAGCGTGACCTCGGCCTAGCAAGGCCAGAAACCACTCGACACAACTCACAGACATGGGCAGCGAGTGAGCAGAGAAGAGGATGACAACATCTTTCCTTTTGTCGGGTGGGAACAGGTTCAGTTCCTTCTGTATGTGATCTGTGAAGCACTGTCCAGAAAAAAAAAAAGCAAAGACATGAATCAGAAACACTGAGAGGTGTCACGTGCTCTCAAATGACCCGAGACAGGCAGCTTCAGTGTTCCAGGTTGCCTTAAAAACATCAAAATTCCCCTTTTGGTATGTGTGGGGCAATAGTGAGAGGCAGCACGTGCTACACACTGTCGAGTATATGCTGTCATCGTGCCCAGGCCCAAAGCTCCCCACAAACTTTTCATCACCCCAGTGGTTTTAAAATGCTGGTAACAAATGGAAAGAACAGAACCAGTTTTTAAAAAAAAGGGTTATATATGTACTCTGTCTAATGGACAGCATTTTGTGGGTTCCCTGAAGGTGTAAAGGGTTCCTAAATCCTGCCGAGGTGTTTCACTGAAGGCACGGAGCAGTGTCACAGCCCAGGAGGGCACCAGGGAACATCACACAGCGCAGGCAGTTCCACCCCGCCTTCCGGCAGTCATTTTGTCGTCTGTTCAGCACACCACAGAAACAGCAAAACCCAAGCTCCCCAACAAAGATATTTTCTGAAAAGAAAGGAGTAAGGTTTCCCTCAACTGCTGGTGCGGCAGCCAGTGCCATGCCCAGAATCTCCTCCTTGCTGCCGGAGCAGCACCCGACAGAGCGACTGATCCGTGCGTGCGCCGGGCACAGACCTGCCCTGAGCAGGAGCGGGGACTCATGACCTCTAGAGGATCTTTCCAGCCAACACTGCGACAGCAACAGGACTGTGCTTTTAAAATAAGATGTGTGCGACGGTTGCTTTCGCCCAGCGTCATGCTAAAACATCTGCCACGAACTGAACATCATTCCCCTGCAATTTCATGCACAGCAGACAAGACACATTTCGTTACTGTAACTAAAATGTACCCACAAACTAAAGCATTCCTGTTATCCGTCTCAAGTATTTTTCTTTTTATTTTTTAAAATAAATATGTATCAACACAGCCTAAATCAGCAAATAGGTTCATCTTCTTTTAGCACCTTCTATAGCTAAATACCTTGTAAGCTTTGTCAGAAGCTAAGATTTAATCTAACTGTTTCCTCAGAATGTTTTTGTTGCTTAACGTTAGACTGTGTTTTTACTGGTAGCAAATATTTCTAAAAAGGAAACTCAACAGACATCTGCACTTAGGTAGTTCTTGTTGTTTTCAAGTCAGTGGGCAGCGCAAAGATACCAAGTTTCTCCTACATCAACCAACCCAAGCAGAGCCCAGGGAAGGCCAATGTGGTGACCTAGCAGCCCTGCTGGGCTCACACCTCTCACTCTGCCTGCCACCAGCACAGGCTCTCCCACAGATCCCTACCTGGATAAGAAGGGGATGTGTGGGCCACCGGTCAATTATACTCCATTTCATCTTCGGCTTCTCCCCTTTCTTATTATAGTAGCGGTAGATGGCATTTAAACTGCTTCCTGAAATACATAACATCAGCCAAGGCGTTAGCAACCTGACAGATTAAAACCGTGCTTTAGCAAGGTATGATATCTTTAAATGCTACATATTTAAAATGCAATCGTAAATCAGATCAGAGCGCCTCAAACGGGAATAATTATATGGCAGTTCATACAACGCACCAATTATATCAAAGTTCATACAACGTACTAATTATATCAAACTTCATACGATGTACAAGCCAAGAACAATTTGCTAAGCCATTAACTGAAGAACAATTATTGTTGTAGTTTCCATGCAGAAAGCCTACTCAGTCGCGTTCCTTCGGTTTACGTTCCCTCACAGTAACAGTGCTGACATGAAGCTATCCTCAGTTCAAAAGCTTCTACTTAAAATTCGGAACGCCAGTAAATCCCACGGAGGAGCTGCAGCCCCGCACTCACCCGTGGTGGAGCAGCTGTACTGCGGGTACTGCGTGAAGGCGATGGCCCGCTCGATGCCGTCCGTCTCCATCTCCTCAATCGCTTCTTCTGTCAGGGGATGGACGTACCGGAAGCCAATGTAGTACTTGTGAGGCGCTGCCAGCCAAAGCACAGGAAAAGACATTGCAGAAAAAAACCCCAAGAACTCGCAATAACATGTCATTAATAAGTACAAAGTACAGAACCAGACAGACTGAAACTGTTGATAATGTTCCGGCTACTCTTCTAAACCACTGCCGTATAAACACACCCTTCTTTGGCCAAGTATTTTTCCAGTAACTCACTTTGCTGTCATTAAAATTTAAAAATTATTTATACTACTGTTTGCCCCTGCAGGAAGCATCACTCTTCTGCTTTTGCTTGGATCAGCAGAGGCATGGTTTCCAGACCATACAGGGCTCTGACGTTTTGCTGGGCAAGTTCTGACTGAAAGGACGTGTTGGTAAGAACGTGTCACCGAGATGCTCAATGAACGCTGCTACACCCTAACACAGACCCCAGCCACAGACGTGCTCCGGGCTCCCGAGCAGCACAGCTCAACTCGCTCACCAAAACCAGAGGTTTTACACACACCAAATGAACTGAAATGCAAAACCTTCGGAAAGACAAGGCTTTCTTCATTCTGCCACACAAAAGGAAACACCTCGGTTAAGCAGTTTGCACATTCCAGGAAAACTTCATTTACCTAAACTTTCAACCATAACTGGGCTGCAATTCTGTGTGCCACACTCTGCTCTACAGGGACCAGCTTCCAGCTGGAAACGGCCCTGCACCTTGCAGACATCAGCTGCCCATAAGGCACCTGAAGAAAATGGGGTGATTTTATCCCTTTCCTGCTCCAGATGCCAACAGAGAAGTCACCAACACAGGGTGCCCTCAGCGCAGGAAGGATTCGTGTGCCTCTGCAGGGTCAGGCCCTCCGGCCCAGCGCCGCAGGGGTGTTCCAGCAGGTCTCCCAGGCACCCAGCTTTGCTCCGAGTCCTGCTTCAGAAACACCTGGCTCCCGTGCACCCCCTCACACGCTCTCTTTCCCTTCATCACTGATGCAGATGTAATTCTAGCTCACTTCTTCCCACTTCCTTGCCATTAACCACATTATAAAACAAAGCTAAAAACAAGCCAAGGTGGAACCATTGTCTAAGCAACTGCTGGGGTCAGGACCCTGGCGAGAGAAGCTGCCTTCCCCCTCGCGGGGGAGGCTGCTCCGCTGGCACATAACCGCCACGGGCCGGGACTGCTGCCGGGGGCAGGAGACCAGTGATAGCGAACGTGGGACACGTGTTCTTTCACTCTGGTTTCCGGGGAGGTGTTCATAGAAATCTCCACGTCTTTAAACACTTTATTTTAGAGGCAACGTTATTCTCTCCAAGAATCAGGTTCTTCCGTTTTCCATCTCTAATCTTTTGGGCATCGGCTGCGCGGTTTGGGGACTATGGCTTGGTTAGGGGGAGGGAGGAAGGGGAGGTTTGCTGTTTTATTCTGGGGTTTTTCAGTAGAGGAGAGAGGTTCTTAGGAGAACAAAAGCAAAGTTTCTTTTTCAGGGTTTCCAGGTCACTAGCTCTGAAATAACATTTAACAGGTTTCTGAAAGAAGCAGATGTCCCGTGCTTGGTCTCCGCTCCACACATTCATGCAGGATTCAGAAAACAGGTTTAGTCAGCCCCAGTTCTCTGCAGGAGGCAAGAGAGCTCCCAGCTGGGAGCAGCGGCAAATAATGACCCAACTTCAGGAACCCCGGGAGCCAGTGACCTCATTAACATTTTAAGATGGCATTAAAAACAAAACTCTGACGAATCAGAGCAAAGACAGTGGGAGTTTAACCTCGGGAAAGACATACTGGGAAAAAACATGGCCAGCTGGAAACTTTTTGCCATACTCCCTCGGTATTACGCTTTGTCCTGGATCACAGGCAGCAAAGGAGGGATTCTCGTGTCTGTATACGTGTTCATTTTGCTGTCACAACTACTGGAAATAAGAGTGACATCTCCTCCCACCAAGAGCTGCATATCAAAAGAAACAACATGCCCCCCCATCCTGCAAGCTTTCTTTCTGCTGACAAGGGAATCCCAGCTAAACTACAGCTCGTAAGAAATACTAAGAACCGTTATAATCAAACACAATTAAAAAAGCAAGATGTGCCTTCTCAAGATATAATTACCACTGCAAGACATTAGCCTATTTGATGCCAGCACTAAAAAAAAAAACCCAACAACAGAAATGGATTTTCCTATCATCATGTTTGTGTGATTTATCCTTACAGACTACCGAGCATACCCAACCCCACTCATTTGGAAGGAGGAACTCTTGTTCATTTTCAGACAGCTGCCTGTAACAATAAAGCTACATTTTAAAATTAAATAGTTCCCAGATGACATGGGTGAGGCTGTTTATTTACTACTTTATATTAGTCCTGCCGCCAAAACGGGACTTCTGTACGTGTCAGATGTACAGTAGAAGCCAGTAAATCAGTAGATTAGTTCATCTGTACAGGAGGGAATTTCAGAGGTGGTTACTGACACTAACACGGGCTCTTCGCCAACTGCAAAGAGAGACCAACTAAAACTCTGCGCCCCAGAAGTCCAGACCGAGGTTAAAGGAGTACACACAGTATTTATTGCTTCTCTGCCGTGCGTTTCCGGCCCTGTCACCACCACCTCGGAGTTACTCACCAGCAGGGCCCCGCGCTCCCCACGAGCACACGACATTCCCGAACCCCACCTCCAACTCTTTCAAGCCATCCTGAAGCAACACAGTGCTGGGTATGGCTGCAAGGTTACTGGAAATGCTTAGGAAACGGTTAGCACACTCCATTTTTAAAACTGCAGCTACCACCACGTAAAAAGACCTCTAAACCATTGATGAGGTGTAAGAGCTGCACAGCAGCAGGCACGACTTCACAGAAAGCAGCCACCAAACAAAAGCAAGCAGGAGCGGCACACTGAGAAAAGCAGATAAACCTCCCAAGCTTTATCTTCAGAACCTGTTGCCAGCCTGACCCTTCAGGGGCTGCTGCTGCTAAAAACACTCCTGCCCCGGGTGCGGGTTCAGCCTTAGGCTCTGGCTGTACTTGCAGGGACCGCAGCTGGAATTAAGCTACAGAGTAGCACTGGTGGAAAAAAGGATTGTATGTCACCCAAATGAAGGTATCAGTGACATGTAACATGCTGAACAAATGAAATAAAGTTAGTTCTAGCTTTCCAAGAGCATTACTTTTCACCTTCCAGAGCCTCTTACCAGCCTTCTACCTCTTGCCCTTTTCTACGCAAGCCTGAAGCAGGTGCCACAAAGAGCAGCAAGGAATCAAATAACCCATTTTGTCAGACCTGGAGGGGGATCCCCTGACACGCCAGCACCACATCAGCAAAGGTCACGGAACCGAAGGGAGAAGGGGCTGGCTGCACCACGCGCTGCAAAGCTGAAGAGAACAGAGAGCTCTCCTCTTTGGCTTCTCTTACTCCAGCAGTTTTTCTATTAAAAACGTTTAGTGTTTCTGTTGTAATGGCAGGATGAGAAGTATTATCTGTGCACCGGTAGGGAATTCAGCGGGCAGCTTAGTGATCTCGTTAAGTCCTTCTACTCACAAAGGCAGTCTGCTGCTTCAGGAACAAAAAGCATAATGCAGAGAAATACCTTTATTGGAACAAAGTGACCCCCAGACAGGTCATTTCAGACAGAGCAGCCACCACGGCACTGCTTCTCCTGGCTTTTGTCAAAGCAGTGGCGATTCACTTCCGTCTGTCCCGTAAGAGGCAGGACACAGACACCCCCGAGCTGCTGTGTGAATGTGGAAGTTTAGTTCCTAGCGCTGCCGCTCACGTTTAACAGCGCCACGGTTTTAATGTCACACAGCATGGAACTGTAGCACACGGGGTACTGTAGGAAATGGCCCACCGCTGTCAGCAACCAGCAGAGAGAAACAGGTTCACCGCAGGTGCCAGCTGAGCAACAATACAGGCTGCAGTCAAATCCAGCTGACAACCAAGTCGAAAGCAGTTTAGCTGAACTGCTGCAAATTCCAGCATGAACACACTTAACCTGGGCGAAAACCGACCCACGCATGCCTCTGGCCTCTCAGCAGAGAGACTGGAGGTGGCTGAGCCCCCGGACATCAGCGGCAGGGAAAGGGCTGAGCCCTGTGCTGGCACACGGAGTGCCCTGCAGCCGCACGCTCGGGCAGGACAGCAGAAGCCCTCGGTGGAAGGACGCTCAGGAGGCGCCCACAGCGCCCCAGCACTTGGCAGGGGGTGCAGGTCCCAGCTCCCTGCTGGCACGGAGCAAGGTCCGGAGAGATTCTGTTATCTGGGGAGCGGGGAGGAGGCTGCACGCACCTTTCACGTTTTCTTATCACCACGCAAGAACTGGCAAGGACAGCATGGACTCCCACCCAAGCCAAACTGTTCGGCCTTATCTCCCGCTCATGCCCTCGGGCGCGGCTCACCGCTATCACCAGGCCAAGCCCGGCTCTGTTCAATCTACAAAACCTTGTCTCTTCTTCCAACAGACCTCCTCTTCAGTCCTGAAATGAGGCCTAATCGGTATGTGTTCTTTTATCCATTATTCATAGTGACAGACTCCGAGTTTCAAAAGCTCTGGATCTATCCAAGCAGTAACTGCAGAGGGACATTTCAGATGAAGAAAGACACCCACGGCTCTGGAGGTCAGGCTCCCACACCCTCCCGCGCACACACCTATTCTTTAGGCCCAGGTTGGCATAACAAAGGCACGCAAGGAAGGCTTTACAGGGCTCGGAGCCGTTCTACATCAGACAGTCCTGGCCCTGACCGGGAAGGGCGTTGCGGGGAGCAGCAGGAGCAGGAACGCTGCAGTCCCAGGCCCCACCGCCGGCAGCCCCGGGAAGTGCTGTGGGTTTTCCAGCAGGAGAGCCCACCCCTGTGAGAGTCAACAGCACCAGCGTGCAGGCCAGGGACAGCCAGGAAAGCCTGCAGACAGGCACTCTGTACCCTGCCCGTGGGCACACGCGCAGCCCAGCTGCAGCGTCATCACAGAATCACAGAACTGGCTAGGTTGGAAAAGACCTTGAAGATCATCCAGTCCAACCACTGACCTAACACCGACAGCTCCCAACTACACCGGATCCCTTGGCACTCTTCAACCCCTCCAGGGATGGAGACTCCACCATCTCCCTGGGCAGCCCATTCCCACACCTAACAACTCGTTCTGTAAAGAAATACTTCCTAATATCTAGCCTAAACCTTCCCTGGCACAATTTGAGGCCATTACCTCTTGTCCTATCACTTACTACTTGGTTAAAGAGACTCATCCCCAGTTCTCTGCAACCTCCTGCCCGGCCTCTTCATCACAGAAAATTACATGAGAGTATACCACCACTGGTCACAAATCTCCAACTCTTTTATGCTAGCGAGAACACCACTCACCACCCTTCTCCCCTGCTTGCCTTGTTTGTTCACATGAAATACATTCCCCTTTCTCATCAGCTAAGGCTCAACCACTCGTCTTCAGCACAGACTTCTTCAAGCTCAAGCAGGGCTGACAGGGCATGGCGTGACGCCTCGCCACCGCACACCGGCAGAGACTCCTGTCCCCGAGCTTCAGCCATCCGAAAAGACACACTTTGCCTATCACAGTCATCTAGATTCCTTCCTCAAATCAAAGGGGAGAGACAAGCGCACCTTCAGAGGCTGAGCCTACCCTGTGACAGTGACCTGAGGATGAACTGGATCACCGTCTCTCCAAGCCTCTCAGTGAAGGAGGGAGCAGAGACCACCCGCACAGGCCAGGCGCCCAGCTCCGGACGGCCCAAGTTGTGCAAGATGAAACACGGCCAAAGCACCTAAGGGTGGGCTCACCCAGGGCAGCTTTAAGCCAGTTTCTGTGGGCACGGGCAAAGAGGGCAGCTGGGCCACAGCACACACTGGATCCGCCTCCGAAGGTGGGCAAACGTTTGGCTGTTGGTGCTACACTGAGTTACTGCAGGCTGAAGGAGCACCGACAGTACTCTCCAAGATCAAAGCCGCTGCGCCGTGCAGACCACAGCACAAACATGTATTGGCGTGTATGGGAACCCCACGCTTCTGCACCTGCCGAGTTTTTAACCAATAAGAACTGCTGCAATATCTTTGCCATGGTTTCCTAGCAGGACTGAAAACAACGGTCACCCTCACAATTAAAATGGAGAAGCAAAAGCTACTCTACAAGTGTCTAATTCCAACACGCGAAGCAAAAGAAACTTTTAACAAGGTGGGTAAAGAGGTACCGGTGCGCGGAGACATGCTGTCCAGCAGCTTCACCATGCCTTCTCCCTGCACCGCCGTCCACTTCCTGATGGGCGATCCGCCTCCGATCCTGCTGTACTGCTCCTGGATTTTCGGCGTGCGGCGTTTGGCAATGAATGGGGCTAGTTTACTAGAGCAGTCCAAAGGTACACACATTAATACCACCCCCCAGATCACCACCCCTTTCCCCAAATCCCTCTGCTGCAGCAGGGTTTTCCGCGGCAATCTCCCCGGATTATAGCAAACCAGCCCTGCATGGCTTGTTTCCTGCTATACTCCACTACCCTTCCCAGGCTTACTAGGTAACAGGAAACCACAACTGGCAATTAAAAGAGAATGATCCAGGCACGCCTATTTCCAGAAAATTATAACACCATTTCTTGCACTGACTGGTCCCAAGATGAAACAGTCTTAAGAAATACACTGAAGTTAAATGTCCGAGCCTACAGGTAAAGACAGCAACACCCGACGCTAATCGTCACACAGAAGTTCACAGCATTTCTCCTCACTTTTGAGCTGGAAGCGTCATTAGATCTCTGTCCAGGAAGAGACGAAGCAAGAAATCGTGCACATCATCCAGCCGTTCTGGACCTCCCATGTTTAACATCAAGATGCCAGTTTTAGGTTTCCTATGGAAGCAAGAGATATTTCAAATCCTACTGACCTACTGCTTTTTTTCCTTATTATCAATACCGAACAATCATCTTATCCTTCTGCACACGTCTTCTGCAAAAGCAGCATCCTGCTTAGAAGCTCATCCTGCTTATGTAAAAAGATGAACTACAAACATGAATAACCACAGGACAAGTATTTACATGATCTTTACTTTTTATAAAAAAAAGTAATCAGTTTGCAACACAGAGTTTAACTGCAAATATACTGAGAAAATGATCTTGCAGCTGAAGGCTGTAAGGGAGATTATAAAACAGGGTCTAAGGACTCCCTCAGCTGAATGCCAGCTGCAGATTCCAAGCAAACCAAGCAGCAGCTTCCGCAGAAAACAGACGAGCTGCCCACACAGGACTTGCCTTCATTACTTTGGAGACACTGCTCCTCCCGAAGCAGCGAGAGCAGCAGTGAGATGTTCTACACATAAAATAAGTGCTGTGTTGGTTTAGTTTGGGTTGTTGGTTTGGGTTGTTTTTTCCACAAGGGGTTTATCCACGCAGGCGTGGGTCTGGCACACCGTCCTAAGGACAAGGTCCCTCCCAGCACAGCAGAGCGGAGCAGACGGCGGTACCAGCTTTTACAGGAACGGCTGCTGATCACAACTCTCACCCAGGAGGTGGATTTCCCCATGGAAACGTTTCCCCTGCCCAAGGGAACCCAGCAACCAGGATCTCTCGCCTCCTGAGGAGGCAGAGCCGAGGCCGCACGAGAAGCTTTGCCCTCCTCTTGTTGAAGCCAGAGGCCTACAGAGGGCACTGAGAGGAGCCTAGGCCTGCCCCGAGGGGTTGGGGCCTCAGCTCCAATTCCCCTCCTCCTGAAGTGTCTGCCAGGAGGCTGCTGCATAAAACCCAGGAAGCAGGAACCAGAGCCTCCAATAATACCACCATCGCCCTACTGTCTGTTCTGCTCCTGCTTCCGCTCTGCCGCAGGCCTCAGCACGGGGCAGGGCGTTCCGCAGGGCTCAAGGCAGCCACCCTTGTCCCTCCGAGCTGCGATGAGAGCCTTGACGAATGCAGCCAGCCAGATAAAAGCAATCGCACCACACAAAAAGGCTAGATCAAGCCCCGTCCCTGCTGTGTTTCACTACGTATCGAGCTCTGCTCTGCCAGGAAGGCAGCACCGTATCAGAGCGAGACAGAGGGCAAGGCGCGCAGGGCACACCCCCCGCAAACTCACCGCGCTGCCGGCTGAAGTTGAGGCTTCGTGCTCTCCGGCACTGCGGCTGCGGTTGCCTGACCCCTCCATCGTACCGGCACCCTCAGCTGGCTGCTGCTTTTTACCGCTGGAAGAAAGATAACAGCATGTTGATAACCTCGCACCGGGCTGCGGGGCCTCTTCACCAGGCAGGTACTAAGCCCTCAGCGGCCACACACACACACTTGGCAGTGGCTGCTGCTTGGCATTTTCTCCCTTAAGCTCCAGGTCCTGGAATCAAAGAAAGTCAGGAAATTGCAAGCTTTTGCCTTTCTTTAAACACTCGGTACACCAAGAGCTTTTCAGATACCGGGAAGTTACCTAAACCCAGATGAAAGCCTCGCTAATCTTTAAGCTCTGATGGTAAATCCAAAGGAACGGGTGACAACACAAGACAAACAACATAGGGCTGACACGCCGAGGGATAAGTGTGTCAGGCTACGTGGCCCCTCACGGTACAGACACACCTGGGCTACCTCTAGACGAGCCAAGTATTTGTACACCACCTCCACAACGTAGGTTAGACAGCCATTAATTTAGGGCCCCCAGCAACGTAGGTCAGCCCCAAGCACACAGCTCCTCAGCTGGACCCTGCAGCGGGTGCCCTGAGCAGCATCGTCAGGACCCATCTCCCTGGAGGTGGGCAGCCTGCTTTCTCCCTCCCCAGCCCGGAGACTTCTATTATTCCTGGATTTCAGCATCAGCCAAAAGCCAAGATACTTCACTTCCCACATGCTGGTTAGTCTGCTATGCCCAAAGCATGCTTTTGTCCTCCTCAGGAGTTCACAGTCATCACACGGTATTTTTCAGCGCAACAACAGCGTAAATTGCCTGAGATGACAAAAAGTGTGAAATCCTGCGTCCCCAGCTCTCCAGCAACGGCTTGGTGCGACACTTGCCTCGACAGACTGCAGGGTTCAGCAGCAACCGAGCCCCGATAGCCCAGCCCTCCCCAGCTGCCCCTCCACCCGCTGAGAAGAGCATCTTAGGGTTCGCAGGTCCCCAGTGACACCCTGAGCAGACACTGAACACCCTCAGAACCTGCTGAAACCACTGGCAGTGAAAAGCGTCTTGAAAACACAGCTTCTTACTGGGGGTTACGAGCGTGCAGCTGCGGGGGCCCGTGTCTGCAGTGACAGACAGGGCTGCAAGCTGGAGAACTTCAATTCAAGAATCGCTAATGCCCAACAAGCTCTTTTCAAATATTCACGTTCCCCCTCCAGTTCTCAGGTTATTACTTTCTGAAGCGCTGACCCTGTCTGTGAATTATACAGAACAGAGATGTTCCCGTGGCTGTGAATAGATACCGGGCAGCGATCCTTTTACTGTGGGGGCTGGAAGTAGAGGATCGTTAAGGTCCCTTCCAGCCCAAACCATCCTGTGATGCCATGGTACCCCAGGCCAGCTGGGGCACGTTTCTCTCTGCACTATAAAGCTCACGGCATAGAGCGTGCAGTGACAGCGACCCCAGCTCGATGGAACACTGCAAAAGCGTTCTTTTAGTAAAAGTCTTAGAAACAGCATTGTTGTATCAGACTAAACGGGTCCCCGGCGTGTGCCCACACGTCCACTGGTCCCGGGACAAGCACTAGTGCCTCTGGGCAGGTACGAGGTGAAGTTACTCCACCGTTACGGCAGGGACGGGGCAACGTGTTGTACTTACAAGGGGTAAGGAAAAGAGCTCCCGCCGGAGCAGCACACCGAGCATAAAACCTACAACACATCCCTCTGCTCCGGCAGCGCCTGTAACACGCGTTCATAGCGTCAGGGCGGCTCCAACCCCGGCTCCCAACTCTTTATTCTGCGCTGGCCTTGTCTTAAAAACACAACCTGGGAGGTGTTAAGGACGGTTTCCACACAGATCCTGGAAAGGGAAGTGCCTCACTGAAAACTGTCATTCTGAGGGGGAAACAAACAGGACAACTAGAAAAAAAAAATACCCAAAAAGCACCCCCAACCTGCGAATCGCTAACCAAGGATGGTTTTTACATGCATTTTAAAAAGGGAAGCGCCTCGCCGAAAATAGTAACTCTGAGGGGGAAACTAACAGGACAACGAGAGAAAAACAAAACAAAACGAAACCCCAATCTGTGAATTTTTAAACAAGGATGGTTTTTACACAGATCCTGAAAAGGGAAGCGCCTCACTGAAAACTGTCATTCCGAGGGGGAAACAAACAGGACAACTATTAAAAAAACCAACCAAACAAACAAAAAAAGAAACCCCACCTGTGAATCGTTCACCAAGGATGGTTTTTACACGCATTTTAAGAAGGGTAAAAAGAGAAGCGCCTCACTGAAAATTAAAATCCCGAGGGGAAAAAGCAAACACCCAAAAAAGCCCCAAATAATGAAAAGGCGAGCCCGGCGGCAGCAGCAGCGAATGGCGAACCCTCTCCGAGGAAAACCTCCCAAAAGCCTCATTCCGCGGAAGGCGCAATCCCCGAGCCGCGTCCCCTCCGCGCGTTCCCCGCGGGCAGCGGAGGCCCCGGCCGAGGCGGCGGCGTTACGCAAAGGCACCTCCCGGGTGTTGTATAACGCGGGGCCGCCGCCCTCCCGGCCCCGGCGGCCGCCGGCCCTTCACCACACAGAGACAGAGAGACAGAACCCCTCGGCCCCGGCCCCGTTTTCCCGCCCGCTGCGGCCGGCGCCCACAGACTCACGATAACGCGCGGCGCGGCCGGCGGCGGCACAAG